AGGATAGACTCCCCGATTGTTGCTACCGGGATAATTCGGTCTCTTGGGAGGTGCATGATGCCCTTCCCACTTTCTTTTCTCACCACCCGTTGCCCTCTCCTCTCTCCCTCTAGCGTAAGCCGTTTCCATGATCTTGGCCTCTTCTATCGTCTCCCTGAGAGTGGACGCCCTCGAATTCCTAACCATTACCATCATGTCAGCAGGTAGCCCTTTAAGGTAGGCTTTCCTCTTGTCTTTCTCTGTTGGGGCCACGTGCCCCACCAAGTTTAGTTTTTCCATGAAGAGTCGAGTGTAGTCTCTTACCGTCATATTTCCCTTCTTTAAGGTTCGGAACTCTTCTTCTATGCGGTCCATCTCTTGTTCATTGCAATATTCCTCCATTACTTTTTCCTTGAAAGTGGTCCAACTCATCTTGGTTAATTCAGTGCCATCGATGGTCGAGATGACAATGTTCCACCAGGTGAGAGCTGTACCCCTTAGCATTTGTGAGCCGAATTTTGCTTTTTGCCCCTCGTCACAGTCACAAGCCCGGAAAGCTTGTTCGATCTCTCTGAGCCAGTTCATGCATGCTACTGGATTGTCTCATCCTTTAAATTCTGGCGGTTTGCAACTCAGAAATGTTTTGTAGGAGCAACCTTTATTCACTTGCCTCGCCTCAATCGTTGCTAACTCTTGAGTTGGGATTTCGTTTCCGGTACCCCCAGATCCCACTATAGTTACGTTCTCGGCAACTGCTTCATTTTTACGATTGTTGGCATCTCTATCCTCCAACAGTTTCATAAAGAATTCTTGCTGATGGGTCATGGCTCTGTTCATGGCATTCATCATTGTACCCAACATTCTTGATTCCGGGGTTTCTTCTTCCATAACTGGATTAGAGGTGGTACGGTCGACCTGGGGAACGTGATCATCTCCACCACCCAAGGTGTTTTGTCTAGGAGGAAACCTTGCGACGGTGGCTTGTGGCGGTTGATCTGCTGTGGACTCGGTCACTGCATGACCTTCCGGAGAGGTATCCCGCCTACTTCGAGTATTTACCATTACGGACTGTCGTACAAGAGGGTGAAAGAGAGTTAGGATAGGACGAACACGGAATCTAACATAATACATACCGATACATTCAAAAATTCTGTAATGACAGGAAGTTCAAGCACGCTTGTGTAACAACTTACTCAAAATAGCATTAGCTAAGTGAAATTTTGAATAGGTTATACATAAGAATTCTTACCACTATTGTCACAACTCATGAATGGATACTTTGATTACTCTAATGCTCTCCTATCTTAAAAGTTTCTACCCATTCCTCACCCAATGTTCTTACGATCTCAGCTTAAGTCTAGGCGTTATGATCCCTTACCTAGTTCCCTTAAACTAGTGCTCTGATACCAACTTGTAACACCCAAATCACTTATAAGAAGCAATAAAAAAAAAAACTAAAACAAAGGAAATAAATTCAAGCAAAAGAAATAAAATTCTGGAACGTGAATTCTTGAAATTTACACTATAGGCAAAAGGCCATAGCAAGGCGTTACAAACGATTATCGAGACGATAAATAACAACCTACTAATCTAGAATTTTCTACAACTAGATTATAGACGGGTGTTTCTATCAATCTCCAAAAATACGGCATTTTCCAGCTTAACGCTCAAGAGAACGAGGCTTTACTACAAAAGAGCCTCTTCACGAAACAATGCTCCTCTCAACCCGTTTTGGCCCTGCTACTAAAAGAACCTGCTAAACAAGTCATACCAAAGAAGAAGTGTTAGGCTTACGCCTAGTRAGTCCAATTAAATCCACAAGGTACAGAGAAACCTGAAGTTATAAATGTTACCAGTTTAAGCACTGAAAGGTCGCAGTTAGATTAATATATTGCCAGGAGTATTAAACATCAGAGATTGACGGGGGAGACCCGATTACCGTTGATTAAGACGAACACAAAGTAAGTCGTAAATCACCGTTATAGAGCGTCACTTATGGCATTAACCAAAATCCAGTCATTTAGCCATTCGTGATCGTAAGCTCTTTATCTCGGAAATTACACAATAATCACAATGCCTATTTCCGAGTGGTAGTGAAAGRATGATTTGGAGGTTACATAATAATCACAATGCCTACCACCAGTTCACACCATCCTTCACACATAATAGAATAAAACAATTTTCGAACACAAAGTTTCATCCCGTTTCAAAACACTTATTTGGATGGTTAATATTAGGCATACAAGTACTTATGATATTATCCCCAACCCCGTGACTTTACGTGAGACTACCATTTGAAAGATATTCCACTACTACCAATAACAGTTACCAGATCTATATAACACAAGGGTAATAGAGTCCCCTGACATAAATCACCATAGACTTTCCTAATCATAATAGAGCCTGTAAACTACATCACAAAACACAGACTTTTCTTCAAGTTATGTCCATCTTAATATGACCCTCTAGTTAGTTTTCACAGTTACTCACTCATCATAATAGAGATTTCCTAGGCAAGTAATAAATCTTAATCATGCAACTAAATTTCATGATACTTTGTACTAATGATATACTTGTAGCATGTTAAGGAACCGGATTCAAGCCCATAGTGTTTTGAAGAGTAGCATTGTATGACGGGATAAAATGAACTCACCTTGGTGGTTATAAAGGGAAAACCTAAGGATCCAGATAGTTTCCCTCGGTTACTGTTTGCTGATTGAAGAACGCAGAAACMGTACAGCAACCTGCTACTGCTGTATGCGACGGGAAGCAACGAAGGGAAAAGAGCTAGACAGCAGCAACCTGCTGCTGTTGGAAGCTGTCGAAGATGGAGGAGAAGACACAGCACCACAGCACGGTTGAGCTGTTGCTTTCTGCTGTTGTTTGCTGCCGACGATGAAGGAGAAAACACAGCACCATAGTGCAGCTAAGCTGCTGTTTGTTGCTGCTGCTGCTGACGATGCTGCTGCCGACGATGCTGCTGTCGAGGATGCTGCTGTTTGTTGCTGCTGCTGCCGATGATGTTGCTGCCGACGATGCTGCTGTCAAGGATGCTGCTGTTTGTTGCTGCTGCTGCCGATG